GACATAGTTAACAGTGTGATAGTAAAATTATAGAGGCTACAGACCCCTCTCGTGTGAACAGAGGCCAAAGGGAGAAATTGATGGTGGTTGAAATGTGTGGTTAGACTTCATAGTGTGAACTTGACGTAAGTTACGTATACATAGGCTGGCCTAACCCCACTGAGAGGCCTATGTAATGCTCTAACCGCATGGTGCGGCAACAAAACGCAATTACTTAATTCATAATTTTGTTCACCAAAAATTCATGTCCACGCATTTCATTTTGATCCCAATCGACGATAACAGATTAAGCATTCTGGTCTTCGAATACTATGCAATATCTCATCCGTAATTTAATACTTAAATTTATTATTTATTTAAATTAAATAAATAGCGCATCGAATCAAGCACATTGTAATAGATATGTTCCATTACAGTACATATGTTTTTGAAACATTTATCAATCGGTATTGCTTTAAATTCGTAAGCATACTCTGTGTTTTATCATCTTTTTTCAGTACTGTAGGCCTACGTATTAACCGGTAATGAGTTTTCTTCAAACACATAAAAGTAAAACTTCTTTATACATAATGATCCATGCTTTTATATATTTATTTATTCATATAGGCCTATATTCTTTTTTCGATTCACTAGATCCAGATCGAACCTTTAAGTGAGTAAACTCAATCGAACCCTTAATTACGAGTACACTAGATCGAACCCTTAATTACGAGTAGACTAGACCAAACCATTAATTAACGATTAGGCTAGATCGAACCCTTAGTTAACGATGAGACTAAGTCAACGTAACGAGCTAAACCTGGTTAAACATAATGTTCCCTGAATAACCTAACTGTCCTGAGGATCCTAACTAATGCTCCATTGATTAAATATCAGATGATGATTTTAATGGCAACTAAAATTAGCACGATACGGTAAGTACGATAGTCAGTCATAAAATGTATCGATTCAGGCCCGTAACCAGGATCTGCGAAGGACTACAGTGTACAGGGGCACCATAGTGGGGGTCAATTACGAGTAGACTAGACCAAACCAAACAGGGACACCATAGTGGTGTGAGGACCGGAGGACAAGTCCTTCGTGTACATGATAAATTCCGTTATCATATTAACGGTTTTGATGCAGAAAGGGTGGTTTGGCTTATCAGAGCAGCTCGCTCAAAACATTAGTTAGAAACACCATTGGTTACAGGCCTACGATACAGTAATTTGAGGTTTTCACTGGTATAATATTCATTACATTGATATACGATATAATTTTGGTCTTAGTGATTTACATTATAATTCATATCTTGGTACATCAAATCCACTCATACAAATTATATGAAAAGGATTTGTCAGAATAAATCAGTAATTCGCATAGTACATGTTGATCCCTATAGTCCAATAGAAATTGTTGCAGCAAGGAGGTATGAACAATACCTCCTTGGTTATTGATATCTAGTGCGAATAGCACACAGTACGAGCAAACTTAGAGATAGTGTTTTGTTTACTTTCACGGTGATTTAAGCATTTACTACAAATTAACATTTACATCATATCTGCATCCAGACGATTTTAAACTGAATAGGTTTTTCTTTTCTTATAATTCTGATTAAAGAAAAGAAACTAAGTTTAATGTCATAACTAGTGCGAATAGCACATAGTACGAGCAAACTTAAAGACAGTCTGTTGTTTACTTACACGGTGATTTAAACATTTTATTACAAATTAACATTTACATCATATCTGCATCCAGACGATTTTAAACTGAAGCATTAAGTTTTTCTTTTCTTATAATTCTGATCAAAGAAAGGAAACAAGTTTAATGTCAATGGAATGTAGTGACATACAACGCCAGCTTCTTTCCATCACAAATATTCTTTTTTTCTAAACAAGGACAACATTCCTGCCAGCATTCATTAAATCCTGTCCGATTTTTTAGACGAGAACTTCGAAAAAAATAGCAGATAAGGTTGAGTAAGAACTAGTACACATTGTACTGACACCAGACATATGACATTACTATTACGGTATTAGACGGACATCTTTCCAACTTGGAAAAAGTGGCTTATCTGATCCTATGTAAGAAAACCAACAATGATGGATGAAACTCGCTAAAGGAGAATACGTTCAACATTTGGAATGTTTCTATATGCGTGGGGGTGAGTGCAACCTAGTTCGAGGTAAAAGCAGAATAACTGTCCAATTTCAGGGCAAACATTTCGTGGATGCTCTCGTGTTTAACTATTAACAATTCTGAATACAATCAATCATTCGAGGGACATTAATTACATTAATATCATCAATCAAATATGTAATTTCTCAAAAGGCTATTCAATAAATTCATGACCTTTACAAAAACAATTAATCAATTTAACAGAATAACTTGTAAAGTTCGGATTTCAAAAAAATATGATTGCTAGTTGAATATTCAATTATAAAGTTATATGATACTGAAACATCAAAGAAATAACAAATATTGATTTGATTCAATTTTCAAACAAGTTGAATTTAAATTTTCAGATTTTTCTTTTAGTTTATTTTTTAAACAATTATTATTTTTTTGTAAATTAAATATAGAACACAATAATATTGAGGTCGTACAAATATGGAGATTGGGATCTTCAATAAAGAAAACGAATAAAATATGTTTAGACACAGCTATGGAGTTTGGGAATAATAACAGAAATGGACGTTAAAGAAGTTTGGGTACTGATATATAGTTTAGGATAACAAAAACTGAAACGGACCACAGAAATAAGGGCACTGCTAGGGAATTTGGTATAACACATTTCCATTGGGTTTGGCATAACAACAACTGGAATGCACAACAAATGTCCTGGTACAATCCCTATGAAGTTTGGGATAACAAGAAGAACACCCCACAACTATTGTGCACTCCTCTGGATAACGACGATTGAGACGGACTAAAAACGTGTTTTGGCACTCCTATGGAGTTAAGGAACAACGAATATAACACCTGTAAATATGATGAACTCCTTTGGAGTTTTAAAAACTAAAACACCTTACAACATATTGGGATACTCCAATGGAGTTTGGGATAACAACAAATTGAATGGGCTACCAATGCACGTTACCACACTCTTATAGAGTTTGGCATATACAACTACACTATCTTACGAACAAGTTACGGCACTCCTAGGGAGTTGGGAACGTACTTCATACGTGTCAGTACACTCCTTTGGTGGTTCGGAAAAGAAAAAAATGTAACAAACATATTAGGGCGCTGTAATGGAGAACTGTATTGGATACAGAAACGATGAAGGAACATATGAACGTATTATTTTGTGGACATAGGTGCACCCATTATTAATATTTACTGTACCACATTCAATTTTTGTAAAGCTAATTATCATAGCAATATTGCTGGTAAAGAATTCCACATAATTTTGGACTCATTTGGTGGGATAAAATAATACTGTACTGTTTTTGAGCATAGGAGTAATCTTAAATAATGCACTTTAATTGCATACACACTTTTTTTTTGGAGCTTATTGTATAAAACTTATAAAAGTACTATCTGTCTTATAAAATACACTATCTTATATATCATTATATTTCTTATCTTAAATAAGGCATGCTCTTCATAATTATGTTTACATATGTTACACACTTTGTACAGCTTAAATTTACAACTTTACATAATAGTATTTTCGGATTAACAATCATCATTTTACATTCATTAAAACATTATCAAATAATTTGACCACATAACAGTATGTCCATTTAGCCCTGTCCAAAACTCATGCCTAAATATGGTCATGATGAGATCACATCAAAACCATATATAGGCACACCATGACTATATACAGTTTTTATGTCAAAGAAAATTTTATTGTGTGGACAGGTCCTAAGTAGTCAAAGCAGTAGTAGCAAGGTAGTAGCAGTAGTAACTAGTAGTAGTAGTAGCAGTAACACTATAAACAGCGCTACTTTTGCATAAGCGCTGCAATTATGCCTCAGAAAATTGTATAGGCGCCACGACTCTCCTTGGAACATTTATGGTGGTATGTAAATAGTAGGAGTAGTAGAGGTATTAGTAGCAATAGTGTCAATAGCGCTACTTTGGAAGTACTGCACTCATGCCTCAGAAAATTGTATAAGCGCCACAACTCTCATTGGAACATTTATGGTAGTAACAGTAAGAGTAGCAGCAGTAGTACACGGTAGTAGTACTGCAGTATAGCAAGATTTGAATCTGCTTGAAATGTTCTCTGTCTATATTTACATTCAAATATTTTTAAGTATTCCTATTAACCTATTAGAAAATGTTGATCTTTACAATGTCCTTAAATACCCTGACAAACTTTAATACATCTTAAGTACTGTATTTTTAAATACTGTTTAAATTTGCTGAATCCTATCAAAAATGTAAAAATAAATAAATAAATAAATAAATAAATAAATAAATAAATAAACCTTTGTGGCAGTGGTGGGTTGCAATCAAATTTTTAAATGATTATTAATGTTATTCTTGTTTGCATACATTTACCATTTACAATAATTACATTTGATCAAAGTCACATGATTTGAAGTTCCATGGTTTGACCAATCACATGATTCAATTTGATCTAAGTCACATGACTCAGTCACATGATTCAATTTGATAGTCACATGATTAAATGTGATCCAGTCACATGGTTCTTGTGATCCAGTCACATGATTAATTTTATCAAAGTCACATGATTAAATTTCAACCAATCAAATTTTAAACAGAGTTAGCAAACAATCACCCACTTTTAACCAGGTCAATTTTTCCTATCAACCTAACCTGAGCTACATCTTTCCTAATTTGCCGAAGCGCCAGTTCTTATATAGATATAAAACAGATCATTAATCCTGATATACCCTGTTAATGAATTCTAAATAATATTCCTTATTAGTTCTAACATGAGTTGTATGTTACTGTTTATTAACCACTTAAATAAAACCTATATAATCTAGTGCATGAATTGAACTTTAGATTCTGTCTCTTATAC